GATGTGGGTGGATGTGTGGATGTGGGTGGATGTGTGGATGTGGGTGGGTGTGTGGATGTGGGTGGGTGTGTGGATGTGGGTGGATGTGTGGATGTGGGTGGATGTGTGGATGTGGGTGGATGTGTGGATGTGGGTTAATGTGAGAAGAGAAAACCCACACCCACGCCCACACCCACACCCACACCCACACCCACACCCACACCCACACCCACACCCACACCCACACTCACACCCACACCCATACCCACACCCTATTTTACAGAAAGAGAGTCATTGTTGATCTTAAAGAATAAAGTCTAGTTGAGAACAACGTCCCTTAAATCGATTTATCTGTGGTGGGTGAGGGTGAGGATGAGTAAAAATAAAATAACTACCACTATCCGGATTTCGATCTTAATGAAAAGATCTCATCAGGTGGTATATAAAATCTGCGTAATCAATTGAAAATCTCCAAAATTTCGAAGAAATCTATAAAAGGAAATCTGGAATCTGTAGAGAGTAGGTGTGTGTGTTTCAATGTGTTTGTGGGTGTGCGTGCGTGTGGATGTTGAAGAAGGTTTGCACCCCACACACACCCGCCCCTATATCACGCATTATATTACGAGATACAATATGATGATTGAATTCTATTTTTGTTATGAAAATATTCACTCTTGGCAAGTATATCTCCGAATCATACAATTTCTTAATTGAAATTAGATCATGAAAAGAAAATATCTCTTTGGGATCAGGATATTTATTATTAGTCATAAGATAACCATCGAAAATAGAACTACGTTCTTTTAAACGCATTTCTTAATTAAAAATTAAAAACCATGAACTCTTCTCTTTGCAGTACTCAACATTATTCGAACATCAAAAGTATCCACCTACTGCAGGTTACTTAATATATTTTGGAGTCGTGTAAATAAACTCGTCCTCATGTAATTATCGAAAAGCATAATAATTGAGAAAATGCTTATTATTGATTGTAATTATATAATTTATTTTTGAAGAGGAAAGCAATTATGAAAAAAAATTATTAAAATCTTTTAATGTAGATAAAGCACCGCGTACAAAATAAGTCGCTATAGCTACTTGATACTCGATTTCCGTCTGATTATTACTAAAAATGGCATCACTGATAGCAGGAAAACCACTTGCTGCATATTGATTGTCTTTAGCTGGTGCAAAGACAATATGTCTTAAATAGAAATATTAAAATGAATCATATAAAGAATAAATTCGATTCTTACTTAAAATCAGTATGATCACCACCTTGACCTAATGGATTTAGAAATGCACGTTCAAGTTGTAACAATTGATCATTGTAAAATCGAATTTCGTACGGACTACAAAAACAAATTTTTACATTTTTCAAAGTCAATATTAATAACTTTACTTTTCCCTATCCATTAATTTTGATCGTGCAACAAAATCTTCAGCTGTCTTACCAAAATCATTGATGGCATTTCGAAGAGGATCTCAAAAAAGAGTTTCAATTGTTTCATAAGAATGCTAAAAAAACAATTATTTTTATACCGAGAACAGTAGGATCGTTAGGTTTAAGGTTATTCATAGTCTGCATAAGTGCCGTTGTATATCGTGTTACATTAAATTGTAAAACTGGTGCCTCAGACAGAAGTAATACCAGAACACCTATAAATTGTCCCATTGTTCTATGAGCCTAATTAAGAATTAGGTAAATATAGAACGAAATATATGGCAAAAGAGACTAACTGTAAAATCGGGATCAACAAAGTTTTTCATCATTGAAAAGACTTCATAAGATGTGTGATAAAGTGGATGTGAAGCTATATTTCTTTGCTCAGCTGAATCGTAGGTATATCTTGCATCCATATTTGATGAGCCAACCAATTGATCAAAACTAAAGAAGTCACTACCTGATCCAAGACCGTATGTTAATCTACACAAATACGATAACAAGAGCTTGAGTTAAATTTACGTGTTTACTTTGGTTCATTAGTTACATTATTTCGATTAACACGCATCCATTTATCATACACAGTTTGTCCAGGAGCATCATAGGCACTTGGAACCTATACTTACAGTAAGAAGAAGAAAGAAGATATATGATTATGCTTACCATTTTGGATGCTTCGACAATAATATCAAACAACATTGGAGCAGTTTTGACTAGAATCGTATGGTTTCCTTTTTCGAACACAATTAAAGTAATTATTTCAAATTTTATCACATGCGGTACCTTGTACTGCACTATCTACATTCAAATAAGAGACAATTCGTGCACCCAATACTTTAACATATTCCTTAAATAACATAAAATTATAGTTTTTTAATACTCTTAATGTTTAAAAACACACCTGAACATATTCCATTGATCCAATGAGTCCATATTCTTCTGCTCCCCATGAACAAAACATTAAACTACGCCGTGGTCGAAAACCTATTATAAATATATGTCAATTTCATAATCATTTGGACACGAACATGAAAATTTACCATTTTTGTACATTTCACCAAGTACTCGTGTTATTTCTAGCATAGTAGCTGTTCCACTTGTTGGATCAATCGAACCTAAACTCCAAGCATCTCTGAAAGATAACGAAAGTATTTTAATTGCAGAGGTGGAACACAAAAAAAACAACAATCGAAGTAGAAATTCATTGCTCGCTTCTATGACTAATATTTGAATTTGAAATATTAGAAAAAGCAACGATCGCATAGCATGTTATTTCTCATTATGCAAACACTACTTAAACACATTCGAGTGAGTCCTATCCTACCGATGGTTGCCCATTACAATATATCGATCTAAGAAAACAAATAATTTCGTATGGTAACTGAACAGCATCCGAAATACCTGGCTCGATGTCTCCTTTCATTATTCCAATCACATCATATGTATCCTTTCTTTGAAGTCTATTGTATGTTTTAACTTCGATGGTTCTATCGAAAAGAAATAGTGGCTCATAATTGATCTTCAAATTGATTCATCTTACGATCCATTATGAAGTTCTCCTCCATAACGATATGTGACATTTGGAAGAGCTCCACGCCATTCTACCGGCACTTCATTACCTTCGAGATATCTAAAAACGACATTTTGTATCGTCTGCGCATAATCGAAAACTAAGTTTTCTTACTGTAAAATAACTTGAGCTTCAGCATAACCAATAGGTTGAGCAGGAATTTTAGGTAAATATTTCACATTTTCTTCTTTCAATCGGTACATGTAATCTTTAAAAATAATAAGAATTGTAAGTTAGCTGAAATAAGACTGCAGTTAGCTGACCGGTAGATGGGTATATAGGTGTGAGTGGATCACCATCCAAAATTAACACAGAGCCTCGTTGTGCACCACTTGGAGGCATATACCATTTTTGGTCATACACCTGATTGGCTGTTGTTCCAAACGGGGCATAGTTCGCTGGATCATTATATAATATAGCACCTATAGCTCCAAAATATTGAGCATGCATTATCTAAACATCATTTGATGATTTAAAAATGTAATTTCTTACACAGACAACACAAGAAATACTATACTTTATCTCCTCGAAATATGCTACCATATCTCATAATAATGATACTTCCTTGAAGACTCGCATTTCCAACTACAGATGCTAATGTTTGAAGATCTTCAAGTGTACCATAATTACCATAGAATAGCTTTGTCTATTTTATCAAACACAAATTCAATGTTGAAACATGAAATCAGTTGTGCTCAAATTGATATTCAACTTACACTATTAACAGTTCCATTAGGTGTATAAGCAAGAAATGGATTTACTGTTTTTGGTTGTGTTGAATCATAGACTTTTTCGGTTCCATTTGTTTGTATGATGACTAAGCCATCACCACTTGTGAGAGTAATTCTTAGCAGAAATAGAACACAAATTAATAAAGATAACTATTGACTTTTATATTCACCGATTGGGATTATTATCATCTGGATATGAAAGAAGAACATTATATTTTGGTTTTATTACTAGGAGACCATCATTTTTCCATCGTTCTGCGACGACTTCAGCGCTTTCTAAATCTTCAGGCAGACCAGCCATATGAGGACGTGAAGTTAGATCTCTATATCATTATGTGACATGGATGTTTATATTGAAAAGAAAGTGTAATTAACTTTACTTAAGACTCGCTTCAATATTGGCCGCTTGAACAGAATCAATAAATATTTGGTAATTTTTTTTATCAGCCTGTCTTGTAAGACGGTCATACTTCCACGTGGCTGGAATTTGTTGTTTTTTTATTGTAAAAAATCCAATGATGATACCGACGCCCAAAGCAATAGCTCCCACAAGTACAACGACGAAATAATAACGCTGAAAATATATGCTTTGCCCTACTCGTTATAACAAAACTATTCAACAGTACTTTATTCATAGCAGGCAAAATCTTGTATTCACTTGAATTCTTATCTGAGCGTCTAATATTGCAGATATTTTTTGACTTGAATTGTTATCATTGTAAATGTTTTGGCTTATATGACACTATTTTACATGCTTTTTTTCTGCTTTTGACGCTTCTTTTATTTATCTCTCCTTCATATCATTTTTCGTTCTTTCTCGAACTTAGACCTTATTTTCCATTAACACATAGAGGTCTCACATATTTGATGCACCGATATAGTACTTTGAGTTCAACAACAGAAGACAAAATAAAGCTAAGATGGGTGCCGATCATTTTTCTGTCACACCCACACCCACCCCAAAAAGAATATGCTAATTGCGACCCTTTGACATTGATACGGAGCCATACTCGATTCCCTCAGAAAATCTTACTAGTGCTCCTCTGGTTTCAAGTGTTACTCGTACACGTAATAGGAAATAGTCTCTGCATCTCTAGAGCAAAACGGGAAAAAATAAAAAGAAGAAAAGACTTCGAACCGGGTATCTACCTCATCTTATCATTCTATTACTCTTTTTCTTTATCATGTTGTGAAAATAAAAAAAGAGTATTTTATTAACCTATTTTTTCAAACAGCACAGCAAAAGAATTTCACAAATAGGCAAATTCTTTTAAAAGAAGAAAGAATGGCTCGAGCAATACCCTTGCCGACTAGGGGTGTTACTTTATCTTTACTTTATAAATAAAGGTAAAAATTTACTTTATCTTTATTTTATAAAGAATAAAGATAAACTTTATTTTAAAAAATAAAGATAAAGCAAATCTTTATATTTATAAAATAAAGATAAAGATAATCTTTATTTGTAAAAATAAAGTTACAATAAAGAATAAAGAATAAAAAATAATTTGTTTGGAAATTTCAACAAAATAAATAAATCATGTTATAACAATAATATATACATATTAATTAAAAGTTATTTCATAGGATTATTTTTATCAATTGGAAAAATAAATGCAAAATACCCAAGTGAGCAAAAAATAAAAGAAGACGCCCGACATGACTAGTCCAAAGTGTCCACAGCACCCGTCAAGTCTAGTCTGAAACGTCTTGCACACCCGTCATGACTAGTCACCTTTTGGAGAAATGTCCTTCAAACTCGTCTGGACTAGTTCAGAGTGTCCTTGAATCGAGTCATGTCTAGTCCATTTTGTCCGTTGACCCCGTCCAGACTAGTAGGAGAGCTAAAAAAATGAAGATGCAAGGTGGATTCGAACATTCAACCCGACAGTATTCGAAACCTGACGGGCATCCTGACGGGAGACTAGGACACTGAAATGAACTGACGTCCGTTTATACAGTCTAAAATACAAAATTGATTCCCGTTTATCCAGTAAACAATCAGAAACCAGTCGATGTCACACGACTTTGACTAGTCTGAAACGTCTTCAATAGTAGTCAGGACTAGATCGAAGCGTCGTCTTCACTCGTCACGACTAGTCCTTTTTTAAAGAGTGTGTCACCCATCGTAGTCCAGACTAGTCTGAAAGACTCTAAACAAGCCACTTTTTTTGGACGAAATATATCCTCTTAATTCGTTTAAACTGATCAATAATGAAAAGTAAAAGAAGTAGAATGTTCGTAGAAAAAATTTTCAATATGTGTATCATTTGTTAAAAATAATCATTGGATAATCAAATGCATTTAGAACGTGGATTAGATTGGAGAATAACAATCATTTTATTGTCTGTCTTGTACTCAAATCTTTGTAAATTGAGGATTAAGATTGATCTGTTATATTATGATTACGGAAAT